ACTACAAATAGCCGCAGTTTTCTTCATCCATCTACACATTGTTATACACCACTTTATGTGATCATTCCGCAGAAGTGTGGGAAATGGGGGCGATATCACATTAGGCATTTGGAATCGGCAGTGCACAACAAAATAGTGAAGCAAACTTCACCGATCAATACCAAGGCTACAGTGTACAAACGGTAAGTGAGAATAAGAAAGATGGAAAGGAATTGGATTTATGTGTAGGGGGTACAAAGAAGGACAGGCGAGCCAGATCAAACCCGAAAATGGTCATTTATCACACACTTGGTGTGATGAACAGTAAACGGGCTACAGTGCATAGTCACGAGGACCTGCTGTTCAGTCGTGGAAATCGGTAACATAAAACAATAAACTTGAACTGGCGAACCACATAAGGTCCTGCTAGGTAAGGCGGTGATACCGTCACCAAATGGTCACCCCGGAGGAAATGTGTTTGAAACCCACCACCACTGTCTGACTTTCCCCATTTTGTGTCGTATGGCAACCCTGTGATTGGCCGATTACCCCTTCTTTAAAATTTTATCATTATGTATTCACTAAAAGAAAAAAGAATGGATACTGAGCCGAATTTAAAGGTAGGCAATCTTCGAACTAAACTCCATCACATGCTTTCGGAATGTCTGGTGATACCAAGTGGACTTATCCGTGATTATTGTGTACAGGAGAACAATATTGAGACAAAAACCAGCAGATTACTGGTAGATGCATCACGGATGAAGTGTCGTCACGTATGAAGGAGGCTTCATTGGTATTTGAAAACGTGAGATATCGCTGATGCCATCACGATATCTGCCTATCTGGGAAGAAACAATTATATGCTTCAGCAGTTCGAGAATTGGTACTTTACCGTGCAGAGACTTTGCTATTACGAAAACAGGATAAATAAAAACTGTCGGTGTTCGAATACTGCTAAAAACGCGGTAATGCACGAGTCTGGTGGGAAAACCGGACAAACAATTCGAAGGTTAAGCGAAGAGTTCTAGGTAGTCACCGTCGTCCATTGGAGCAAGTGGTTGACTTTCACAGATTATAGGTAGAAGTATGTCACGCATTTTAGGTTGCCAAGGCTTGTTACGTTTGCCGAGGCAGGTAGAGAGCGGGAAAAAGTCAAGGGATGGTCAAACTAAGACCTTGCACGAGGGTAGAAAAGCCCTGATCAGGAGCCGTAATCGCATAGGTGACGTTAGGATTCCTGAATGGGAACATTCGAATAGTTATAATCGATGATCTGAGACACTGGGAAACACGGTTGAATGTCGTAAACAATGGCGCTCAACCATTTATTAATTGTCCTTGCAAATTCAGTTCATCTAAATACTCTACTTTTACCTTGACATCGCTTTGAACACTGCAATCTCCCCTCCCTCCGATCTAAAAGGTTAAGGTTGTCATGTTAAAATATTCCAGTCCGAAGATTAGAGGTTTAGGTCATCATTTTGCGACAGATACCCTAGGTGAGTGAATAAAACTCAACTACCTTAGGCTTGAATATACATTGATATGGTCATTTGTCGATCATAGTGACTCATGCCCCGTCTATATGATATGACAAATCGATTACTTCGTAAGGACTTTTCTAGTTAACCTAACTTTCCGCCAGAAAGGCACTGAAATAAATGCTCTCTACTGAGCATCTGAATGGAAAACCTTTTTTTAGTGCTATTCTGATGAACGACTGGTAGTTGCGCGCTAATTTCACTACAAAACGCAACAGCTCTATAATGAGCTTTAGAATGTCTGTATACGAGCAAAACTTACGGAATCTTGCGTAAGAACTCAAAGGTCTCATGGGACTCTTGAAGTAAAAGTATGTTGTCGGCGGCCCAGTTGACTGTCTTTTTTGTCAGATGCGGTAGGTTGTATTGTTTCGCGATCTGGAAAAACTCAACGACATTGCGGAGGCTAAAAAATTTCAGGATAATGAAGAAAAAATACCTTGTTCTGAACTCCATGAACTGACTGCAAAGCGATCGCACCTCCTCTAAGTGAAACCAAGTGGCGGCGGCTAGAACACTAAGAACAGTCTGCCGGTCAGGAAAATGAACAGTGCACTAACCTTTTCTGATAGCACTACAGTATCATGATAAAAGGATCCAAATATAACATCTAGAGATGATTTTGTGATATTTGTATCGGAAAGTTCTAATTCGATCACATCAGACCCGCTTTCCTTCCATCCACCCTCAAGCATAGCGCAAAAGAAGGGAGACTAGTTCAAACTAAAAGCATAACATGATTTCCACCTACTTGTTTGACATAAAGCCTATGTAAAAGCCACGTATGACCCATACTTTTTACAGTTAAATCACTCCCTTCACCTTTGCAAAATAACTCCCGATAAACATAATCATAAGTGGATCTGATTCGTTTCCTAAGAATTAAGAATAAAACATTTTTCAGTTACTTTATCGGTATTTCGTTATCAACCGCACTCGTAATCTTCCTCTTTCGACAAACATTATTCGCTTCTACTGAAGGGCTCGAAAAATAAGATCCCATAGGGAGCGTGAACAGGACCAGAAATAATAGCTAGAATATCTTACTGAAACAGTAAATCAAGACATAAAAACTAATTACATTGATAGGTGAGCACTGGAGAGAACCTAAAGACTGTTCGTGCGGAACCGATCAGCTGATGTATCGTGCCGTTTTGTGTTTGTGGGAATTCAAGGTCATTCAGTTCAGGTCAGGTCAGGTCAGGTCAGGTTGCACAGGACTGGTAATGGCCACGGCCA